TCGGATGATAGAAATATATCTCTATATAAAAATATCCAATTGGTTAGTGTTTTTCTCGTTGTTATTATTGTCTTGCTGTCATCTATTTACCATAAAATACACGAAGATATTTGAAGAATATGGATTTATAATGAGTTTAATGTAAAATTTCGATGAGAGATGAGATAATATTTGTTAGTTATAATCAGAGAAACAACATAATAACAACGAGAAAAACACTAACCAATTGGATATTTTTATATAGAGATATATTTCTATCATCCGAATTTATTCAATTAGATTGTCTTTTTTTTTCTTTTTTTATGATCTTAGAAAAAAAAACGAAAAGAATTAGTCGAGTTGATATTTTTTTTATAAAATAATAAAAAAGATAAGTCGAAATATTTTGTATAATGTTTGTTTAGATAAGAAATTCTAGTTCCATTCAAATAACTAACACATGATTTTCTCGCCTTCTTTCTTTTTTTTGTTTTTTTTTGTACGTGCCAAACAAGTGTCGGAAGTCAGCTGTCGCTTATCGTTACATCCTTAATCGAATCATTCTCTTCATTTATTTTTCTGTCTAGAAATTATCTTCTTTTTTTTACCTAATCTTTATTTATTTATTTTTCCATCGATATCTTAAGAGAGGAAGAAGAATCGTGTTTAACACGGAAGAATCACACACACACACAAGTTCTCATAGAAAACAAAGTATGTATCCTATCATCATTCGATAAAAAAAAGGGTCTATCTTGATTGAAGCAAGAAGAGATGAGAGAAACGAACGATCCTTATGGAAATATGATATATAGTTTTTTAGAAAACTAGTCTATGTCGAATATATCATATGTACCTTCAAATGAAGATTATTTTCAATTAATTGAAACAAATGAAAATCGAATAAATTCATCATCAAGAACAAGTTTTGAAATATTTGAAAGACAATATGATTTTATTCAATCAAAAAATGATAATTATCAACATGATATTAATTCAATATCAAATATTAAAGAGGATAATTCAACTAAAAGTATAGTTTTTTTTTTTTTTTCTTTTTCTTTTTTAAACAATATGTTTAATTAAATAAATAAAATGAAAAAATAATTTAGATGAAAATCATCATTTGAAAAGTGAAAATATGGAAAAAAATCTGAACGATAATAGTAAAGAGAACTGCGTAAAAGCAAGTGAAAACATGTGTGATGTATCATCATCAATGATGCGATCGATTTCTTCTATTTATTGTCGATTGCCGTTTGTATCATCTTATCAAATGGATAAAAAAGAACGAGAATCATCACTTAAACATTTATCTTCAAGAAAAAGTCTATCAAATAATTGTCATCGTCGATCAACAATCACTTCTCTTCATTTATCAGATTTAAATTCTAATAATAATAATTTATTTAATAAAATAAATGAAAATATTCAAGATAAATATATTGATATAAGCAAAAGTCATCATTCAATTAATTTAATTAAAGAAAATTCATTTAATTCAATTGATAAAATAAATAAAAATTTATTTAATTCAAATTCTGATATTGATGAATATTATAAAAAAGGAAGAACAAAAATAAAATTAAGTTTACCAATAAAACCAATAAAATCCTTAATAAATGATAAATTCAATGATAATAATTTAAATCGATATAAAGAAAAAGAACAAAGAATAAAATCTATTAGATCAAAATCAATTCAAGGAGAATTTACATTACCAACAAATCCTCCAATAACAGTTACAATTGAACCTCAATCAAATATAAATGATAATATATCAAATGATAATTGTTTTCATGATGATCAAATATGTTCACCTGAAAATATTCATAATCAGTATCAATATCAACAAAGATCAACAAATGATTCTCCATTAAAAAATTCATCAACAATTGTTTCATATTTTATGGATCTTTTAAAACCAAGTGATAATAAATTAGCTTTAAAATTATTTGGAAGTCGAAAAGGTCTTCTTAAAGAACGTTTAAGACAACAAAGAGCTGGACATTGTATTATTCATCCTTGTTCAAATTTTCGGTTATTTTTATTATTTACCTTTTTTTTTTCATTTATATTTATATTTANCTTTTTTTTGTTTTTTTTTGTACGTGCCAAAGAACGTTTAAGACAACAAAGAGCTGGACATTGTATTATTCATCCTTGTTCAAATTTTCGGTTATTTTTATTATTTTTCTTCTTACGTTTTTTTTTTTGTTTTGTTTTTATTTTCAATCTTTTATTTTAGTTTTTATTGGGATTTAATAATGTTAATATTATTAATAACTAATGTTATTGTTCTTCCTGTTGCTATTGCATTTTTTAGTGATGAAATTAATTCAGCACGATGGATTATTTTTAATGTTATTTCTGATGCTTTTTTTCTTTTTGATATTATTGTGAATTTTCGAACAGGTTTATTTTATTTATTTATTTAAATTAATTATTTTTAAAAATTTTTTTTATTTAAATAGGTGTATTAAGAAATGATTATATTGATGAAATAATTCTTGAACCACGTTTAATAGCAATTAATTATATAAAAACTTGGTTTATTCTTGATTTACTTAGTTCACTTCCAGTTGATTATTTTTTTTTATTATTTGATACTGGTGATCATTCAGGTGGTTATACAATAGCACGTACAGGTCGTGCTATTAAAGTTCTTCGACTTGTTAAATTACTTTCATTACTTCGATTACTTCGATTATCACGTCTTGTCAGATATATTCATCAATGGGAAGAGGTGAGATTTATTTTTAATTTTATTTATTTTAGTTAATATGAGGGCAGGAAAGATCATCTTATTAAAATAGCGACATCGAGTCAGATATCGATCGATAGAACTTCGTGCTGCCAATTTCCTTCGAGTTCATCTTCCCGTCTGGGTGATAAACTATTTTTATCTATTTATTTATTTATTTATTTATTTATTTATTTAATGCATGATTTTATTATTTAATTAACAATTAAATCTATAATAATTATAATTTTTTTTGTTTTGTCTATGTTAATGTTAATGTTAATGTTTGTGTTTTTTTGAAACTAGTTAAATGCATGTTAAAACATATTCGGTATTAGATAAATCTTGTTTATATAAAATAGTAACTAATAAAAAAAGAAAAAAACAAGCATGAAATTCACATATAATAAATGCATGATCATAATTCGAGGGTAGGAGAATAAGATCTTCCTGCCCAATCGATTTATTAGTTTTAATTATATATTTTTAAAATGTATTTTATATATTTAATATAAAAATGAATAAAAAAAATTGAAAATATATTTTTAGTTTTTATCAATAGCAAGTATGGTTATGCGTATTCTTAATTTAATAGCATTAATTATATTATTGGCACATTGGAATGGATGTTTACAATTTATGATTCCAATGTTTCAAAATTTTCCATCTGATTGTTGGGTTGCATTAAATGCTCTTCAAAATGCTCCATGGACAGAACAATATACAGTTGCACTATTTAAAGCACTTTCACATATGCTTTGTATTGGTTATGGTCGTTATCCTCCTCAATCTTATGTTGATATGTGGTTAACAATGCTTTCAATGGGTATTAGAAAATTCTTATTCTATTATTTCTAAATCATATTGTTTTATTTAGTTATTGGAGCAATGTGTTATGCTGTTACAATAGGACATGTATCAGCATTAGTTCAAAGTTTTGATACATCAAGACGTTTATATAATGAAAAAGTATTTTTTTTATTTACTTCAAAAATTAATAAAAAACAAAAAAAAAAAACAAAACTATTTAATTTAGTTTAAACAAGTTGAAGAATATATGGCATGGAGAAAATTACCTCGAGAAATGCGTAATAGAATATCTGATTATTATGAACATCGTTATCAAGGAAAAATCTTTCATGAAGATACAATTTTAAATGAACTTTCAGAAAATTTAAGATTGGTTTGTATTTTTTGTTTTATATTTAATTTAAAATAAAATTTTAATTTTAACAAAAGGATGTTATTAATTATAATTGTCGATCTCTTGTATCATCAGTTCCATTTTTTTCAAATGCTGATCCAAATTTTGTTTCTGATGTTGTTACAAAATTACGTTTTGAAGTATTTCAACCGGGTGATCAAATAATTTATGAAGGAACAATTGGAGATAAAATGTATTTTATTCAAGAAGGTGTTGTAGATATAATTAAATCTGATGGACAAGTTTTAACAACATTATCTGATGGATCTTATTTTGGAGGTTTGATTTTATTATTTTGTTTCTATTTATTAAAATAAAATAATAATAATATTTATTTAGAAATATGTTTATTAACACGAGCTAAACGTGTAGCAAGTGTTCGTTGTGTAACATATTGTAATTTATATTCATTAGATTCAAGTCAATTTGAAACAGTTCTTGATTCATATCCATTAATGAGAAGAACAATGGAATCAGTTGCAGCTGAAAGACTTAATAAATTAGGAAAAAATCCGTCAATAATATCAACACGATATGATTTAAAACGTGATGCAGCTGCATTAAAAGATATGATTGATCGTGTAACACCTCAACCATCAAGTGATGAATCTTCTCAATCAGATTCATCATCAATATTATCAAATCAAAATAAAAAAAATGATTTTAAATCTTCATTATCACATTTACATGAAGAATTTAAAAAATCTTTTATTAAAAAACGTTCAAGTAGAAATAGAAGAAAATCTTCTGTTGAACATAAAAAATTAAAAAATCTTTCACGAAATTATTTATCTGCACCGAAGTCAAATTCAATTGAAAATCAAATTAAAAAATCTCCGTCCACACCTTTTTCGATTTTACATTAAACATAAATTATTCTATTTTATTTTCATCTATATTATTTCTTTTTTCTTTATTTAAAATAAAAAATATTCCATTATATTTCTTCTATATTAAACGATCAATAGTATGTCGTTTTTCTTTTTTCATATATATTTTTCATTATATATTTGACAACAACAAATAATTAATATTATCATTTATTTTAAATAGAAACAAAAAAATGTCAAACTTTTCTTTTTGTTTTTTGTTTTTATTTCCTAATCATTTATTTATTTTATTTCTATTTTGTTTTTTCTTTTCTGTGTTCGTTATTTGTTCAATATGATATATAATTAAATAAAATAAAAATAATTTCTTATTAATTCAATGTTAATTATCAATATTTGCATTTTGTTTTTTTTTATTAACCTAAACATTTGAAAATCAATTTTTTTGCATATATATATATATATATACATATATACGTATACTTATCAGAATATAAAACAATTATTTTTAATATCGACGAAAATATTTATTTTCTTTTATTAATATTTTTTGATAAACTTGTCAAATAATGTTTAAATTTAACTATTGTACATGGGTATTTCCACCGGATGTCGCCAGCCCATCCGGCGATCTCGTCTAAATCTAATGAAACTTTCAGAGTTTGTAGAGCTTTCTGCGCTAATCATTTTGGTAACAAAATTTTTAGAGTTAGACCTCATTTTCGCAAAGATACAGGGCAAATACTATTAGCGCTTTTTTTGCATTTTTGTAAAAATCAATGCATCATGTGATAGAAAAATCGATGAAATTCTATTTTTTTTCGGTCAAATTTTGAAACCAATGAGATATTCAGATTCCTTGTGAGAAGCTGCACTAGAAATCATAGGAATCGAAAAAGTTTTCACGGACTTTTGTGCGGTCCTGTTGTTAACTTTGTGAGGAACATTGTTGAAAAAAATCAATCAGAAAGTTGGAATGAACGAGAATAGTGGTATCAGCAGTTCGATAGAGC